ATAATCAAATTTGTAGGTAGGCAAAAGATATTGTCCTTTCTTAGATGAACCATGATATTGCTTACTGACTTGTATTTTTGTTTTGTTTTTAGCCATGGATGTATAAGGAACATTATAGACTTCTTTGAATTCAGATGCTGTGGTCTTTTTCGGCCTGTTATTGTGGACTGGACAAGGCAGTATACAATAGAATATGACCAAACTTCAGGATCAGGCTACCAGCTAGTGTAGCACCACCTTCATCCTGTGCGCATATCATACTGAGTGGTGCCTGAAAAATATTCTCTCTCTCTCGAATCCGCATCCCTTGAAGAGTAGCATGCTATGTGTAGGGCTGATGATGAATCATAAAGGTACCTTCTCTTCATCAGAATTTTATTAACAGAAGTAAAAATGGACAGAATAAACTGCCAAACCTGATATGGAAGAGGAGGAAGATCAAAAAGGGATTTTAACAGTTCATAACATGAGAATTATTCATGACAGCATATTCACAGTATTTGTTGTTGGGTTTTTTATTTAAGGTCTTTCACAATGGAGCATGAGATTATTGAAGTATTGACATAAGTAGTTATGTTGTGCTGAGCAAAAAAATTTGTATCCCAATATCAATAATTCCACTGAAACAAGAATCTAGAATATAAAACTAAATTTCATTTTACAGAGTTCACTGATCGCTATGTTGTAGTTCCTGTAATGTGATTTTTTTTTTAATACAGATTTTCTGTAGTATGATGTACATTGAAAAATGTGCTTTTTAGTACTGTTAAAAACATTGTATGGTGGGGATCTCCTGTAACATGTAAAGTTATAGCAGTAGGGCACGTCAGGTAATGTTGAGAAAAAATATATTGCCCACTTTTTTTGGTGATTGTTTTTGCCACCGGCTAGTGGTAAAACTAAATACTTGTATTAACCCTGTTCTGAAATAATGTAGTCTGAAATAAACAACTGTGCCAATAAGGAAAGCTTTTCTGTCAAAGTTAAAGCCCTGCTTAAATGCATGATACACCTGTAAAATTAGTTTACAGTATATAATGTTCAGGGAAAAAAAGTGGGGAAGAAATCATTATCTTTGAAGTAATTGTATGAGCAACTTACAAACTAGCAACGTTTTAGTGTTACGTTTGGTCCTCACACAGTACAGTGTAGTGTATTTGGAGACGTGTTGGAAGAGAAATTGCATGGAGGATACCACAGATGTGAAAGCAAAAGTCTCAGTTATAAAAATACAAGGTAGTTTTAAATTGAATGCAACTGCAGAAGAAGAACCCAAAGTAGCCTGAAATGCTTACTTCGTTTGGATGTGAAATAACAGAAACCAAGCTTTAAAAAAAAATAAATTAAGAATCCCCATAATTGCACACACGCACAGAAAATGCAAACCAGCATTCTGAAGAAGATGGTGTACTGGCACATGGAAATCACTCTTAATTTCTATTTTTAAGTTCTCATGCTACAGATAGGTTTGGAAGGTAAGGAATGATCTGAAATTGCATTCCAAAGGGGCTTTTCCTGAATGTGATGCACTGATTTTTGTTATGGTGTTTTCATATACTCATAGTGAATTGTTCACTGCTTCCTTAACTATTGTTTACAGAGAGACAGAGACTGAGAATCAGGTTAGTTCTCTTATAAGTGCTGTAGCAACCCAGTGGTTCGAGGAACCTGTGAGGGGAGTTTGGGGAGGGACCTGAAAACAGATGTCTGAGACCAGTGTAAAGAATGTGTATCTGTATATAAATAATTTATCAAATAGTTTTCTCTCTGTGAGTGTGTGTTTAGTGTATTTAAAGCTGCTCATTTTCATTTTATTCAACCAAAAAAGTGTAGGAAGATATCTAATGAGCTTTTAGTGATGTTCAATATTGCTGTTAATAGGCATTATGCCCTGCAAATTCACTGCATGTTTGATGCTTGGCAAAATTAGCGTTTTCTGTAATATGCAGATTACAGGTAATAAAGCAATCTAGTGGTATTCCCGGCCCTTGCCTTAGTAAGAGAAGCAGTGAAACTGTAAATAGTTGATGTTCAGTATTTGCAAGTAAACATTTTTTCTGTAGTTGTTCATTGATCTCAAGACACACACTTAGTTTGCAAGTACCAGATATCAGGATTTACAGAAGTGCAGCATTAGAGTACTTGAATGTTTAATACTGGAAAAATCAACATCATTCTTGGACACAGTTTTAACAGGAGAGGTTTGGGTATAGGGGTGGCAAGAAGCTTTTGCTATTGTTGTCAGACAAAATTTGTAATCCTAACGAAGAACATGTTCTATTTCAGTGAAAACAGTTGACTTCAGTTATTCATATTTTTTCCTAATCAGAAAAAAGCATGAAGACTTTACAGTGTAGTTTCTTTAAATCACCAATGATCTTCTATATATTTGTTCTTTTTTTATTCTTTATTTCCACATTTCTGTTGGGGGTTGGTTGACTTTAGGAGTTTCAATACACTTTATTAAATATTGCCTAGCCACCAGGAGAGCAGTTCAGTACATGATACAAGCTTTGGTTTTAGTTGCCCAGTAGCATTAACTGCCATGAATTGTGTCATGCACTCCATGTCAAATATGTTTTAAAAGAAGAGGTGATCTTTGGAAGCACATTGCGAGTTCTGCACTATTTACTTGTCAGTAGCTCTCTGGTGACAGTTTTGTTGAGACCTGCAGAATCTGAACAATAGTAGGTAATTGTGAAAAGTAACATGCATATATGGATTTGGGATGTATGATGTTTCCAGTGCAAAATAGAACTTGTCTTGAGTAACACTGAATTGTTTGTGAAATCGTAAAGCAAGCAGGGCGGAGCCAACTATGCATTTTTCTGTCAAGTTATCAAACTTAAAATTCACTTGTTGAACCAAAACTGCATTGCTTCTGAAACTTAACAAAGTTGATCCAGACCAACAGCAGATCAGACCAAGTTAATCTGACATAGGTAGAATAAATAGGAATTTTGTCTTGGCCCTAAACATGTGCTGTTTCTTTGCAGGTTTTTGTATTCTTTGATGTCCACCAGATTTTTTTTTTCAAATAATGTGTAAAACAGCATCACTACATTTTAAGCTATGGATTCTTTTGTATATTCTTTATTTATAACTGTGCCAAGTATTATTTTAATACTGTCAAGATCTTGATGTGTATTACATTGTGAACAAAAAAAAAAAAATCTGTAAAATGTTTAATAAATTAGCTCTCCTTACATAAATTAAATCTGTTAAATTTTGTAAGTTATTAATCAAATAAATATTGACTCTTAGATGCAGTGTTTGTCTTGACTTGGAATGTGATTTCATACAGTGTTGTTTCTGCCCAGTTTCAGAAGCCATACCATGAAAAAATAGCTGTCGTCTTGCAGCTTATTTTAGTAAAGTCTTTCTGAAAGACATACAGGTGTCTTGCAGATAGCATGCACCGAGTTCTGTGCAGATGTGAGATCCTGTGAGCTACTACACTGGATTTTGGTAAAGTATACCTTTGTACTACCAGTTAAAGTTACCATTCACTAATTAGATATTCCTGTCTTTTGAGCAAAGCATGCTGGCAAGGTAATGTTTCTTAAGGGAGAATTCCATCTAGGGAATGTTTCAGGTGGCCAGAGGTATGTATTTAGTGACATTTGAGGTATTCTAAGGGTAAAAGAGACATCCACGTAAGGCTAGGAGGTGTAACCAAGATGTGTGCTTCTGGGTGGCACTTACAAGAGACAGACTACCGACTACCCTGACTCTTCTGGTCCATGCTGTTTGAGTAGAAACAAGGTAACAGTCCAAGTTGGAATTTAACCAAGATATTTATTATCAGGAACATATATTAAAGTATAAGGCTAGGACTTAAGAGCACACCTAAAGGGGAGAAAAAAGTCTGTTTTCTGCTGAGTGTGGTTTCAGTGTTGACATTGAGAATTGTTGGTGCTGTTCTCCCCTTCCCCAAGCAATGTTCCTGGTGAGGCTGTGTCCAGGCTCACCTCTGATGACCACCCTTTTGGCTTGTCTGGTAAACACCAGGGAAGGTACTTTTAAAAAAAAAAAAAGACATTTTGCCTTCTGTGCTGAAGGTCTCCATTTAAGATTTGCAGTGCTCCATCAGAACAGTTGCTGTGCTTGGGAGGTATGGGTGGGCTCCTGATGACTTGAAAGCTGGTTCTTGGGTTTGTTTTACTTGGGAAGAAGCCTGCCCTCTGCATCCTCATTATGGTTTGATTAGAGTTCAGTGCCTTGACCTCCCATTAGCTGTCTTTAAGTAAAATCAGATGGTTTTGCTATGAAAGCAATGCCTGCAGTATGAGTAGCAGGGCCAAAGGTTTCTGCCCAGGTTTCCTAGGCTGTGCCGTTGCTTGCTTCCTAACTCCCACCTGAAATGTGTGCTGCTTCTGCCTGTCTTTTCCAGTTCTGATCTTTCCCTCTCTGTGAACTGAGTCACATTTTGTCTTCAAGAGGCCAAAACCCTCCACCATTTCAGGGAGCTAGGAGTCCTAGCACTACCAAGGAAAGGTCAAAAGTTGCTCTTAGACCCAAGTCGGATATGATAGTCCAGAGTTTGGCCAGCTGCTGAGGATGGATGGTATTAATCTGCAGCTGTCTTGGTGGAATATTAAGTGCATAATAGCACCTCAATACTGAAGTACATGCAACCCCACAGAATATTATGGTGCAAATGGTTTGTTTTTCATTTACTAGAGACTGCGGCAGAGACAGGCAGCAGTTTAGGCATGCAGCTACCCATTATCTATCACTTTCAGAGCTATGTCACTGTACAGAGCAGTAGATTAAGATTTACTACTGTGCAGTGAGCAGCTCGTTGCCTTGCATGTGCATATATAATGGTGTGATACTGGAGGACAGGCATTCACCTCTGAAGACCACGACCCCTACTCTGTATGTCCAGCTTTCAGCAAAGGTCTGCACCAAGTCTGTAAGCATCGTATCTCCACCCCTGAGCTGCCCCAGCAACACTCCCCTCACCTTCATTGCTGACAAAGCAAGCAACACTCGGCTTTAGGATATATCAACAAGCAAAGCTTTATTGAATTGATACTCAGTATTAAAAGTGTTACAGTGTGATACACAAAGCAAGGAAAAAAGCAGTGTTTGTGGGGTTTTTTAAAATCATCTTCAGAATGTATACCCAAGCACTACAGTAACTAGTATCTGTTTCACAGTAGTTAGTAACAGTTAGGAAACCCTCTTGTTCCTTCTAGCAGGATCTCAGCAGAGCCATAAGGGGTTTTTAGGCCCCTCACTGGGCGTGAACAAGGGCACCCGCTCCCTGGCCATACCCAAATCCCTTGGGGCCAAAGTTCTTTGCATAACAACCTGCAAGAAAGATGAACATGTAGTAGCTGAGTCTTCTGGCACATTAATTAAGAACAGTGCTGTCTAGGCTAAGCCCTCAGCTGCTTCCTCATAGTCACGCAACACTTAAAAACATTTTGTTAAACTGCATTAACTGCCCTGACTGAACTCAGTAGCCAGGCCTGTTTGGTCCATGTAGCTTCCATCCCGCTCTGTGAAGGTAACTCACATATTGGTTCTGTGCTCTTTATCTGTTAAGGCATTTGTTGTCATCAAACCACAGTATCTAATATCACATATCGAGTTTATATCCACAATATCATGCAAGAAGGCATGGCAGGATGCTTGCTGGCTTGTCTCCTTACTCTGATCTGCTCTCTGACCCAGGCACAGGGCACAGGCTGCTGCATCCCTCAGTATGGGATGTTTTGCTTGATGCAGATGTCAGCATCAGCAGCTTCAGTAATATTTATTTCATTTTTCAGCTCTATTCCTATGACTTACAGAGCACTTCCATCTTGCCATGAGCCTGAAAGTTTCTTATACCAGGACTAAACTAACAATCCAGCCCTGTAACATATTACCTTGAACCATAAACAAGTGACCTTTGTTTCTTTCCTCACCTTTACAATAGATTTCTCCCTCTTTTTCAGTTAGGGTTGTAGATTCTAGGCTTTTTCCGCACTTGGCACATCGGAAGCAGTTTTTGTGCCATGGCTAGGGAAAAAATAAAAAGCAGAAAGATAGTATAAATACACATGATATCTGAATTGGTAAAAAAACCATATTAACTGGAAATATCTGCATCAGTGTTGTTTTTATATGACTAGTAAAATAGAAACCAGTTGAAGTGCACCAGTAGCAGACAAGAGCATCTGCAGTTCTGAGTAGCCCAAAGCCTCAAATTCCACACAGCATCCTGCTCAGAGCAGCATTTTGAAAGGTTTGGGCTTGCTCTGATCAATTCAGAGCAGATCTTGGCTCTCTGTAGCGAGTGAGTCAGACAGCTGGCAGCCTGACACATGGTTTTACATGGTATTTTCAGAGAACATTCCCTTTCTGCTGAAACATTCAGCCTCCTTCAGAAGCTGCACACCCCACAGGACTGTTCCCTCTTCTCAGGGAGAGGGCTTCTGCAGTCTGCTTCAAGTCTGGCATGAGATGATATTGAATCTTCACCTTTGAAATCTAAGGTGATCACTCATCAACCTGCATTTCAAGTGCTTTTTGTTCCATGAAGTTGATTGATTTGACTGTTTCCAATGGTAAGAAATGTGATTTTAAGGTAACGGCCCTGCAGTTGGTTCCCTACTGGGACCCACATAACACACCTTGCTCACTTTTAAGTCCATGCAGCAGGTACAAAACAGCACATGCAGTTCCTTACCTTTCCAGCTCCTATTACTTTCTCTGCTGCATAAACAGAATCACCACACCTTGAGCATTTCTCTGCCCCTCCAAACTTCTGAGCAAACTTTGAAGGGTTTGGATTTGTAGTGGGCCGGTGAGGAGAAGGTGTGCTGAAAGAAACAGGACATGTGTTGTCTCTACTCTTTTACTAAATGACCTCTTGCTCTTTTTAGCTACACAAATACGTGTTGCAGCATCCAACACATGCTACAGTACTTTTGCAAAACAGGAGGAGTAAGTCAGCAGCAAGGCTATCCAATTACACCTGGTGGGAAGAAAAGCCAAAACCACAACAACAAAAAGAGGATGGCCATGTTTCAAAGGATAAAAAGAAGCTCCTGTAAAGGCTAGTTTTCTGAGGAACCTTCCCCTTTTCGCTTATCTAGAAGTGCTGAATTCTGTATTAGGACATGGATTTTTCACATAGTAAGCTACAAATAATTCTGTTAAATTTCTGTCTACTGATCATAATCTGGAACCTGAATGGATCACTGAACCTGGCTGGTGAGCATGCATCATATAAACACTAAGCAATAATTTGGGAACTTGCATGAAGCAAGTTGTCAGGCATACCTCAGCTTCTTTTCACATGCTTTGCTTTACAGCAAGAACTTAATCAGACTAGGAATGTTTACTATTTAATGGGCCTTTGGACTTTGGCTGCCATTAAGCACAAATGGTTCTTCATTTGCCAGTTAAAAATTCATTCTTCTTGTAGCCCCAGATTCCCAGCTGTCCAAATCCATGTCCAATGCTGAACATTCGCATTTCCAGCTTATTTAGGAGAGTGCCTCGACACTGGGAGTCACCTCTGTGGGCTCATGTAGAGCAATCAGCAGCTCCATAATCCAGTCCCCTATAGCTCATGCATAGGATTAGTGCATCCTTGCCTGCACTAACTGCTGCTTGTACTGTTCCTACTCACATAGTCACCAGTGGGAGCTTTGTGTAGCACAGGTTAAATGCCCCGCATTGAGCTAGACTGGTGTATTTTGCAGCATTCCAATTCCAAACAACATGAACTAAACAAAATCCAGCTTGAAAGACTCCTGAAAACAGTACTAAAGGACAAGGGCGCCTCTGAACTCAGTTCACTCACCTCTCAGGCTTGATGCCTAGTCGCTCTCCCCTGTCCATGTTCAGTGTTCCTGCTCCTTGGCCATATCCATAACCTTTTGGGCCATACTTTTTCCCATAGCAAGATTTGCAGTAAACTTCAGCATCATGAATCGCTACAGTTGTGCTGTCCAAGTTTTTCCGGCAGACCACTGGAGGAAAAAAAGAGTTAAACTGCCTTAAGGCAGTTTCCATCAGCACACATAGTAAGCCAAAAATCAAGTGAGAAGTGATGTTATGGGTTTCCCTGTCCACAATTCTTCTCACTGGGCTGTGGGACCACCAGAGATTAGAGGGAGCAAGTTGCCTTTTGAATTCGTGAATTATGCTTAGCTCTGTAAAGGGCTGTATTCCCTCCCACCTCTTCATGGCCATGACATTTAAAGCCTGGAAACTTGCTGTGGTTTGATGAATGAGGCTGCTCAGAAATCCAGAGAGGGCAGTCAGCAGTTTCCCTTGACAGATGCCATACAGCATGAAGCAAAAGCCTATCAGTACAGAAGAACCCCTGTCCTGCCCTTTTTGCCAGGGTGGGGCTGGGGAAAAAAAACAAACCTTCAAGGTTCCCCCACCCTCATCCGCCTCAGTTCTGCTTCTGGACTGAGCTGAGGCTGGTTCACAGCTGTCACCGGAGGGGCTGTGCTTTTCTGGCATTCCTACATTGTCCTTTGGCACAATGCAAGCACTCTACTCAAGGTTACAGTAGAAGGGAGAACTATTTCCTTCTTAAACCTCCTTTTGTATGCCAACTGCATGCTCTTTCCATCTGCAACAGCATTATGCCCGTGATAAAGAATTTGGGAAGAAAAAAAAGAAATGGCCTTATGAATTTTTTGTTTAAAAAGAATTTCAGTGTCTTCAAAACACTGGGGGACCTTTGCTTATGGCATTCATTAGCTCCAAGTTTCTTTTTATAAGATAAAAATATCCAATAAATAAATCAACTAATGCATGTTTGTTAAGTCTACGGACTTTAACCCCAACAGAACTATGCACTAAGGAAAAGCATATATGCAGACACAGTAGAGCCATTGTTTGACTGCAAGTTCCAGGTTTCTTTTAATAGTAACTCCCATAAAAGGCTGAAAATGAGGCAGCCAAGACATCTAATCTTTGTTTTTTGTGACCACAGTAGAGCTAAGGGAAAGGAGCATAGGTGTGCTGAGGCTCTCAGTGCCAGCACAGCGTGCTGACATTGGGCAGCAGACTAACATGCTTGAGGGGGCCAGTTGTAACTGCAGCTTAGATGAAGAGACCTAGACCCAAGCTCTGCCCATATGTATTAATCACCAGCAAGTGGGGCAAAACAGTACCTCGTGTTCGCAACAAGGTAAAATTCTCTGATTCAGACAGACAGGCTGTCTGTTTGCAAAGCAGGAGCTTCTGATTCACAGGGACCCTTTGTTCCCTTCATCTAAGCAGAGGTCTTTTCAGCAGAGAAAGCAGTTTTCAATGCCTCGCTAGGCTTGTTGGTTGGACTGGAAAATAATGCTTTGGACTCCTTTCATCTGAAATAAACCACAGGCTCCTGTGCCAAGAAAATTTAGGCTTTTGGCTGAGCTAAACCATCAACAACTCAGCTGTGCTCAAGCATGCTGGTGTCCTGGTCTGTGCAGGACACCAGGGCAGCAGTTTGATAACTGTTCCTTCAGCTACTGCCAGCCCCAAGACCACCAGGAGATCTGGTGGCCCAGCTGAGCTCAGATCAGTGCAAATGGAGCTCTGCCACAGGGCTTTTTCCTCTGCATGAGCAACACTTAAGCTAAGTTTCCAACCTAAAGAACCCTCAGATTCTTGAGGAAAAGGCTGGCAAGAGTGCAAATGGAAGAGAAAAATCATGATGTGCTCTGAGAGGTGCATCCCACTCCTTACACACTGGATAGGTAGGATAATACCTCTCCAGGAGATGTTCTCTCCCTTTGGGATGCCAGGCCCAGGAAGCATGTGAGGAAGCAGGAATTAAGCCCAACATGTGATAAACAAAGGCATCTCTGGCCACTGCCATCCCCATCATGGGTGCCCGCTGTGCCTGGGATATCTCCTGTGGACCAGCACCCTGCTGCTCTGATCCCCCCAGCTATGCCAGCAGAGATTTTGGAGGGGAATACTTACTGCAGAGGAAGCAGCACCGGTGGAAGCTCCTCCCATCACACTGCACCTCCTCAGCATGGTAGACAGTGCGGCCACAGGCACCACATTTGTTGCCACCTCCCCAGTTCGGCATGGTGGTTCTGTGTGCCCAGCCAGGAAGGAAGGGAGAAGGGGAGAGATTTGTTAAATACAGTGTCCTCCACCACCCTGGCCCCGGGACTATTGGTGTAACAGGCTCCTTTAAACCAGATCCGCAAAGTTAATGTATCAGAGCACAACCCTGAGAGTTCACCGTTTTAAAAATGTGACCTTCCACTGCATGAGAAGTTTTTGGGATCAACTCAACTTCCCAGCTCTTCAGATCCCAGACCAGACATAAAGGCTTAGGTGGGCTCTCTATGGCTATTTGTAAGCGCAGATGAACTGGCAAGGGGAACAGAGACTGCTGCTGCTGAACAGCAAGAAAAACCGAGACACAGTCTTCACGAGACATGTCCTCTGTCCCTGCCTGCGGATTTTGAAAGTTACATAAATTGGATACGCCCAAACTACAGTTCCATGCACAAGGGCTTTACTGTACCTTGAACAAATGCCCCCTAGATAGATATAATTTCAGTTTCTATGCTTCATTAATGCTGGGCCTCTCATCTGATAGAAGCAAACCAATTGTGCCAACAACGGCATTTTGTTTTACTGCAGGGCCTGTCATTTGGGATGTGGTACAAGCCAAAGTTCACCTCACCAGAAAACCACTTATCAGGGCTGTAGGAACATTCTGAACTCCTTTGAGATCACACCTGCACTTCAAAGAAGTTTAAGGGAGATTACTTCCCAGGGACTCACTGCTATTACATGAACTGTACCTTTACCAGACAGGTATATAAACCAAACCAAACTGCTCAAGGAGCCACAGCTGCTTTAAGAGGAAGTAAAACTCCCTCTCACACATTACATGTTACTTGGAATGGACGCTCAGATGGCTAGTGTGCAGGGACAGGCACCTCACCCATTGTGCGAACCGACAGTCTCCTACATAAAGCCAGAAGCAGTGACTGTCCCATCTCAAACTGAGCTGCCCCCTCCTCAGCTCCCCTGCACTCCCGACACCACCACCAGCCACTCCCACCCAGCTTGAGTGGGAGCTCCTCCTGCTCCTCCCATTAACCGTCCCGGTTAAAGTACCAAAGCCAAGCACTGCCCGTCACCTTTGGCTTTTCTGGGGCTTTCCTCCTCCCACCACCACCACGAGATAATACTGCAGTGTTTGTTGAGGACTTATCTCCTAGTCGTCCCTGAACTGCCCTTAACTTGTGACTGCTGGGTAATGCTGGTTTGCTCTCCTGCAGCTCACCACCAAAGGACCACCTCCCGCAAGCACAGAGGCCAACAGCAGCCAGAGACAGGGCTACCGATTCAGCGAGCTTAACCCAGTGGAGCTGCTTAGGACTCATCACCCTCACTGCTCCTTACTGATCCTCATTTCAGAGAAGGTTTCTGGAAGAGGACCATGGGTTTGCCCACTGCCACCCTACCCCACCAGCACCACCATTCCCTCCCTGCAGACTCCCCACAGCAGCACTGCAGTACAGGTCAACTATCAGGAAGGGAGGGAGGGAAGGAATTTGTTGGGAGCTTCTGACATTTCTCTGGAAAACTCACCTCTAGAAGCTCTCCTGTGCTGGCCAGACAGGGAGAAGATACACACAACAGCATCCACACACTGCCCACAGTCTGCTGCCTTGTATCAGCTTTGCCACTCATCTCTCTGAGCCAGAAGCAGAGACTACCAATCTCCAGTCATCCCACTGGCCGACAAAGAGGAACTGGAAGCTCCACCACAGGGATCCAGACAGGAGCACTTTGGTGAGAAAAGCCCCTTAAAGAAAGGGGATCTTGAAGCAATGTGTGGGACAGGCCTCAGTGCAGAGTGAGGCACCTCGTGCTCCTCAGGCAAGGTAGAGCAGACTCATAAATAACAGTTGAGAGCAGCAGTTTTGGCTGAATTACGTGACCCATATGGCTTGGTAAAACAAGCCTCCTGTCCAAGCAGCATGACCAACAGTTCAGCAGTTTTAGGGATGCATGGTAGGTTGTGTGGTTCCCAAGACATGCTGCCAGGTAGCTGCTACAAGACCTTTGTCCAAGACAAGCAGACAGCCATTCGTGGCATGTGGCAAAATAAGATTAGTTTATTAACCTAAATTGGGCCATCTTAGGTACATTCCTAAGCAATAGCTTAGGAAACTTCCTCAGAGTGGCTGAGCAGTGCTATTTGCACACTGACACTAATTACTGAGATAGCCCTTTGTTTAATACTTCCACAGGATTAGCATCATTACTGCTCCATGGTTTAGCACTAATACCCTGACTGAGCTCATAAAATTAGTTTTATGACATTTCCCACTTTGCTTTTGTCATTCTTGGCACAACTGTAGAGTCTAAAAATTAAGATTCCATTTCTTTTATTCAAGTGCTTGGCTGTGCTACTGCACAGCAGCTGACATTAATCATGGCAAAGAGCGTCCTTGGTTAAAGCGAATATAGGCTGCACAAAGCTTTGGAAAAGGAATGCACAGACTGGAAAAAAAGAAAAATGGAGAAGAGATTCCTTTTCACTCTGTATTCTTTCCAAAATGTAAATGGCATTTGGTACAAGAAGTACTTCTGTCTTTTCCTCTCACCATCCCCATTCATGTTCTTTTGTGTATTTACATGAACCTAAATAATTTTAACCATTTTGTTAGTAAACAATAGTTTTCATACACACTAGAGCCAAGGACCTGAATCAGGTTTCCAGCTTTTCCCCAGATTTCCCATGTAATATTGGGCAACACAGAGTGCAGCTCCACCCTTTCTTCCCAAGGGAGACAAAATATTAGGTGATGCAGCAACCTTTAGCTGACTCAAATTGTCTGATAAGGACTCTGAGAATTCATTAAATGAAAAACAAAAAGGAACTGAAGTAATTACTTCAAGGTGACCGTACTGTCTTCCACAAGAAGTATTTCCATTTAGCCTCTCCATGATGTTCCCATGACAGCTTGCATGGGAAGAATGGCAATATTTTCTCAATCACCCCACAGCAAGAGCTGCCCTTACGGCAGCGGTGCCCAGGAGGCACCTTGGGGGAACAGGGCTGGTGACTTGAAGAAGCTCTGCTGCAGGACAGTGCACAACCCTGTCCCCCTGCCCACAAGCCACTCTCTCGGCACCACAGCCTCACACTGCCCTGATCTCCTTCCAGAGCTCCACAGGTAGCAGATTCAGAGCTCATGTGCTGCCTTAAGCCTTCCCTGCTCCCTGAAGACTTTTTGGCTAGTTCAGGCAGGCCTCTGGGGAGCTCAAGAGCAGTAATTAAACATCCAGGTGACCTCAGTACCAGCACCAACAATTCTGACTGTCGGTTGCAGCTTTGTTGGCAGCTGCTTGAACCCAGCCAAGAGGGGAGTACGTTATTCGGGCAAGCCACGGCAGCCGCCAGGTCCTTTCCAACCCGTTTGTTAACGGCAGCTCTAAACAGAAGGAGCCCAAGCCATCCCAAGACAGATATTGAGAAATTCCAGGCTATTCAATTATCCTGGACGGCTTTTTCGGCGGCCAGCCGGCGAAGCCCTGTGCGTGGCAGCTCGATCATTACAACAAGCCGAGCAGCACGGACGGGGTGAGCATCGCCCCCCGCTTCCCCTCCCACCGGCGCCGGGTCCCGTAGTGGCGCTCACCAACCCCGGCCCTGCCCCGGGAGAGGGTCTGGTCTGGCCCAGCCCCTGCACCCTCCGCCCTCCCGCTGCCAGCCCGCACTCACCCCAACTCTCGGCTCAGCTCGGCGCGTCTCAGCCCAGCGCGGCCCCGCGGCGGCTTAAAGAGCCGGGGCGGAGCCTTGCGGGCCCCGGCCCAGCCCCGCCGCCCGCTCCCGGCCCAGCCCCGGCCCCGCGGGGCAGCCCCGCTCTCGCCCCCACCGCCGGGGCATCCGAGAGTGAGGGGGCACAAGGGTTCGCCCCTGCCGTGGCCACCCCGGGGACGTCCAAGCTGCAGCCTCCGACTGCAGGACACCAGCCCGTGGTTTTATCCATTTTTAGGATTTTGATTTACATTTTAAACTTCTTGCAGGCACCGTGACCGTGTTTCTCCGGAGCACAGCGAAGGCGTGCAGGGCTCGGAAAGAGCTTTACCTGGACGGGAGGAGCGGGCTGGGGCGGGAGCTACTGTCCGGACCATGGGAGCCTTCAGGGAGTCGGCACTGCAGCTCCCGCTGAACCACTGCTCCAGCGGGGACTCATTAGGATGGGCCTTAAACAGTTTTCACAGAAGGCCAGCAATTAACGCTGTCCACACCAGCCAGCTCCTGCTGGAGAAAACAATGCAGAGCTTGAGCTGCTTTTTAAAAGCGTCCCCATCTCCCAATTTCCCAGGGCTGTTGTGTGCTGACTGGATCGATTCAGGATTATGCTCCCTGTGTCTAGAGGAAGATCCAGGTTTAACCTCTCTGTTAACCCAATACCAAATCATCTACTCATTGCCTGTAGGAGTGCCAGGTTGTTCTGTTTCAGCAACAGGAGTGGCCTCCTCAGTACCTCACAAAAAATCCCTCCAGTGCAAGTATGGTACAGTGAGATGGGCTGACAGCAGGTTGGGTGCAAAAGCTATGCTGTGGGGCTGTTGGTGCAGGCAGCTGCGTGGAATGAAACCTGCCTTGTCCAGTGACTGATATATGGGGCCAAACTGCCTGTGCTGTGAGGCCACACATTACCTCCATACCAAGCCTGGGAATGAAAAAGGTTAGCTGTCCTCTCCTTTTAAAATGTTCTTCCAGCCTGCTGCAGCCTGTGTGCTGACAGCTGCAACTTGTTGAGATTTTTTCCTTCCTGTTTATAATTTTCTTTTTCTATTTGCAATGAATCGTGAATGACCAGATTGTGCATGATTTATGTGCATCCTGGAGCCCTGCTCCATAAGTGAAGCCAGTATTGGTTGCTGTGGAACGAGGTGGTGTTTGCTGTAAGCAAGACCAAGAGTCTGACCTCAAGCATCATAGCAACAATTTTAGTCTATGTTTTGAGGGAAGCAAGCACTATGAGAAGCAGAAGTATTAGCAATGTTGTTTCTTGAACTGGAGGGAGAGGATCTCTTGCAGTCAGACAAGTAAGAGGTGTATGAGTCACAGCAGGCTGACTGCATTTATTGCATGAAAGGCCTATGCTCTCTTGTCCAACCTGTCCTGCGCCCAGCTCTGCTGGAACTGCATGTGATGATGCTGTTATTTACCATATCTCCTCAGGTAGCCTCCAAAGCTATTAGATTTTCCCTTTTGACAACATTACCTACAGACTATAAAAAATAAACAGCAGAGATCATAAAGGGAAGGGAGAAGCATTGCAGTCCTAGTGAGGACTGACTGTACAGAAAAAAAGGAAATTCTCACTGCAACTAAGGGTCCATGCTGGTATGAAATAAAATGATCTTCAGCGTTGAGGCGCTGCTGACTGAGCTAGAAGACAATCTGACATCCAACATTTATTTTACTCATATTTAGTACTTAGTCTGTCAGAAACAGAGTAACTATGGGGTTCGGATATAAATATTTGATTAAATACATTACTATAGGAACAATAATAAGGAATACATTACTGCAACAGTTGGGACTAATACCTAGTAATGAATGAAAACAAAACCAAGAATGAAAACTTTCATCACATACTTTATTGATAAGGACTATTTCTATCAATACTTATATTTTATAAATATAAGTATGCATCTGTATATCTCTAAATACATAGTTATTTTATTTATAAGCATACTTATTCTGTCTCATCAGCACATCTCTTCTTCTCTGTCTGTCTTTCCTGAGGGCATAGTTCAGAATTTATGTAAGATAAAGCCTGAATCCAGCCCGGCTGCATTCCTCCTTGCCGTTCTGCAGTCCTTCATCCTGGCACCCTAAGAATCCCTGTCATTCATCGAGCAGCCCCACTACCCACTTCACCCTCCTTGTCATCCTCCTGACCTATCCTTCCCTGTGTTCCTGCCTGACACCTGCCATAAATTCCTTTTTCTGACCTATTTGCTCAAAATCTCAGATGATGCCTCTTCTCACTGGTCTGGTGCGGAGTTCCCACCTAACCACTCACTGTGCCAGGTCCCTGTAGGCAGCCAGGCTCCTGCAGCCTGCCAGCTTTTTGTCTGGCTTCTGCCATTCTGAGCTCCGCAAAGTATAATTAAGACAGTTTATTTCTGAGAAACAGTGTTCAAGTGTATAAGCAGCTCCCGTTAATTTCCCCTGCTGATTTGGCAGCTCTGTGACCCAGGGTGTTTGCCTCTCTGTTCTTCTGCTTCCTTGGCCATGGGAAAGCCCAGAGGCTCTACACTAAACTAGTTCTCCCTTCACTTGTAAAATTGACCCAAAGTATGTTCATCATCTCAGAGCAAAATTTTCAAGGTTTTAGCTATGCCATAATTTTATGCAAAAGTTGTTTTCCGTGTTTCGGAGAGCTGAGTAAATTGTCAGCTTGTCTGACCTAGTTAATTTTCAAAAGACTTGTCACACATCAGTTATTCAGGCCTTTTACAGCCATACCTTCCACTCACCGGGGATTATCTTATCCTCGTTTGATCTTGTAGGCATAGTCCCATGCCTGCTTATGGCAGTCAGTCTGCTTGCTCTGCTGATAATCCTTGCTATTGTTTTATGAAAGTTTACTCTAGTTACTTTAGATTTTACTTTGCAGGGGTTCTAGTCATAGTTTGACACTGTTTTTGTCATACCTAGTTTTATCCAAATGCTACTACAACTTACAGACCTCCCTTAATTATGTTTGTGGAAGAGCATAATTTTAGCTATTTTTTCTGTCAGGAGAGGTGTTTTGAAGCTAGCATTAGAGTTTATTGTTTGCCAGCCTGCAAGGTAAACCGCCTTGCAGTAGTCTCCATAGTACTTGGTTAATTTCTCACTGGCCATCCCTCTAACTTGCCCCTAATAAAAGGGATTTTCAAGTGATTTATATGCAATATCAGCTAGTGAAAAATTAATTTGTGCCCAGCATTACCCAGATTTGCCCTATCCTAGAAGGCAATATGTTGTTTAGCTAATTTCCTTATCTAAACACTCATGCATCTCGAGAGTGCTATACATTTATTCTACTATAAATATGATAATGATAAATCAATGAAATTTGCACAAATTAATGAAAATGCAGCAGACAATTCTAGAGTTTACCAGAGCTGTGATTTTTTTTTTTTAGTCAGCTCTTTAAGTCCAAAGTACAGATCCAGAAGACATTAGGTAGGAGAAGACTGTGCTTTCTAAGCTTATGGATTTCTTTATTATTTGCCATATTTATAAATTATTTTACTTTGCTTTAGTGTCTCCAAGCAGAAATGGAGGCAGCTGTGGAGCTGCCCACTGTTGGAAGTATGGGTGCTAGTCGGATTTTAAGAAGACTGAGCAGTGGATTTTGACTCACAGGCTCTCAGATTTCTCTCCAGCTCAGCAAAGTTTTTGGGACTCAATGTGTTCCTGGTCCCCGAGGGAGATGGATCCATTCATTCCCAGGGTTTTGCATGCAACACTTCAGCCTGATGTGAGTTTTATCTAAATGAAAGAAATGCATGATTTGCATCTAATCCTAAATACATTTAGTGAGGTAAAGCACAGTGTAGGGTGCTCGTGATGCAGTTATCAGGTGACAGCGCTGTAAAACCACAGCAAAACTTGAAATTACTACATTGAAGTTCTGGGGTTTTGAATAGAGGTTTCTGAAAAGGCTAGCGAAATGCGAGCTCTATTTCAGATGCCAGCTCAGCAGAACACTAGTACCTGGACTAGTTATGATGTCACCTTGCTGGCAGGAGGGATAACTCAGGCTGAAAGTATTGATTTCTTTAATAAAGCTCGATTTGTTCACCATACACTCACAAGGCCAGATTATCCTTTGTGTTGTGCCATGGAAAAACCTGCAGGCAAGAGCTCAACCATGTACAAGTTCTGTTGCTGACTGACAGGGTATCATTAGTGCAGGACAAAATTTGAGGACCCCTACAGCTTGTTCCAATAATACTGTTACTGATTTTGAGGAGGGCAAGGAAATGTGTTTAGTATTAGATAGCAGGCGCAGAGTGGATCACAAGGTGAAATGGTCTGACTCTGCTGTTTTTATAAAGCTTCCCAGCTGCATCAGGCTGGTGAGGGAGTTACCCAGATAGCAGATGGCAATCTTGCCAAATCCATAATGTCAAAAAGCAGTGCTTGGGCTAAAAAAAAAAAAAAGAGTTCATGTGATATTTTTTCCCATTATCCCCTTTCCCAGTAATAGTTAGGACTCTAAACTCTTCTCCACCACATCAGCACCTCTGCATGTAGCTACTTGTCCTGATAAGAAGAGGAAGCTCAAAGGCAAATCATGTCAGGATGTTACAACAGCTGCAAACAACCTTCATCAGAGCCACTAGCAGTCTTGTGCCAGAGCTCCCTGCTAACTGTTGTGAGAAAGAAGAGGGTGGATTGTTTCCAAGCTGTATTGTGTTGCCATTGCATGAAGTTCCTGGCATCCTTACATCAAAGGAAAAGCATTTCAGACTCCACAGAAACAGCTAGAGGATGGTCAGCAGTAAACCCAGCAACGTGCTGATGCTTGCTGGAAACCATTGTGTCTTTGGCGTCCCTCCCCCGGACAGCAGAAAATGCTAAGATGCAATGATGATTCATCTTTCTCAGACTAGGAACATCAGATCGAGGGAGAGGGATTAAAAAATCTGGCAGAAAACCTACCCAGCGTGAAGGAGAATAAGCTATTGAGTGTAGTTGGGCTGGTAACTTTTAGCATGTCGCCTTGCAGCCAGCAATGCTTTAATTACCCTGACTGTCTGCAGA